TTATAATAAACATTTGTCATGATTATTTGTGTTTATTGTATTCATTCGGGCTTCCCAGACTGAGTATCCGGTTGGAGGATATAATCACTCGTCTGTAGAGACCTTGGTCTTCAACTTGAAGTCGTCATTAGACGCGGCCGATTTCAGTGTCCCGATCCCTTATTTCAAACACCTCTACTTTAGGTATGTGTGTTGAGTAACGGATCGATGATCCTTTTGTGGATATTGTCGATAGTTTCCTCTTCTCGTTTTTTACCCATTGATTCAATCACTGAGATGATAGAGGGTTTGACGAAGCGATAAAAGAGATGGCGAGCGGGTCCAACCTATCGTCCTCTGGAGATAGGAATACCCTGTCTTGTAGATTCGACGACTGGATCTATACTCTCTCGAATATAAGTCATACTCGTTCGTTTTAGACATACGATTACGCTTCCTTACATTTGAACATGTTACACATATTGTACCCGACTTATTGTGTTTTATTGTTCGCGTATCAGGATCTCAACATTCTTTGAGAGTGTTCTTCTTATCCTGTCTACGAGTTTTTTAGTTCTTTGTGTGTTTTTTTTGTGTCTTACGACACTTTAGGTAAGGAATGGCAAATCAAAACATAAGATTCTATTCAAAACTTCATATTAAAAACTGGCAGATTTTCAATTGAATGAATTGTTTGATATAAACTGCAAATATATTTACCTTGCTTGGCATGTACAATTCATTTGTTACATCTAACCTTCATGATGTATGTATTTGCACTTGAGGCCAGGGATGAATTAATGTAGTGACTCTTTTGTGCAGTAATTTCATGATTTACAGTATTCATGAAGCACATTTCTAGCTGCATGGTGAAAATGAAAGAATTATTAGCATAGGCTTGCTAAGTATTTTACAATATTCGTGCAAAAGAAGTGTTGATTTATTTTAACGGTAGCCACAAAATAAGTAGGGTTAAGTGATATAAACCTGAATTATATTTGCTGTTAACATATCAAAGTTTGCTAAATTGCCATAAAATGTATAACTGGATAGAGGGGACCCTTCCACTCTCTCATCAGTAAACAGTTACAATATGGATCATTGTGGGGCAACCTTGGCACGGATGGTTGGAAAACTGCAGGTTGCTGAGGGCAGTTAAGTTGACGGTAGGGGCAGATAAGATACATCGTTTTACAACTGTAAACCCTTACTCCACAAAGTATTTGGATACGTTATCTACAACAGGGCAACACTCATGACCTCTCCCAATGTCAAGTCGAGGCAACAAGACAACCAAATTCAGTTAGTGCATCCACGGAATCGAAACCAAACTGCCACATAAACGTGTCGAACAAATCCTGGGTTGAGATTAATTAGTGGCTGAACCGTACGCAACCGGTAGAGGGAGTACAACATCCAGCCCGACGTACAGCGATGCGCCCAATTTTGCTTTCACGTCACCGTCAGGCACGTCCAGCTTGGTGCAGACAGCATCTGAAATTCAGAAGGCAAGACTGGGAGAGGATACTGTTCTACGATGTGTCTTGGTTTCATTTGGACAGCTCTGATGGTCGTTCAAAGGTCTACAGGCGTCCAGGAGAACGTTTTAGCGACGCTTGCTTTTGTCAACTCAACAGTTTTGGCTGGAAATGAATTGGAATGGGGTGGCTCATCATTGTAAGCTAACGGGATGACATCGTTCGAGATCATGTTCCATCTTTTACGCAAATGCAGAATGGTAACGTCACTTTGCAGCGCCATAATGCCCGCCCACATGTTGGACGTGTTGAAACAGATTTCTGAGGCAGCATAACATTGCTTACCGCCATGGCCAGCTCTTTCCCCAGGCCTCTCCCCAACAGAACATATCTGGGGTGAGATAGGTCGACGCCTACGACAGGAACAGAACAAGCCGGTAACGCTAGCTCAGTTGGACAAATGTTTGGTTGACATTTAGAACAACATGTTGTTTTCAATCATGTACTTTCTTACATGCGCTGCTGCTATCAACGTAATAGGTGGTGTTATATTACAATGTGATTTATTGTTAAATATTGTTGTAATTCTATTATTCTGTTGAGATTCAGTAAGAGTTCATAGCTTAGTGTTTCAACAATAATTAGTGGTCAGGAATGTATTACTGTCTAATGCAAGCCGATGTGTGGAAGTTAATATTGTTGGATACTTTTGGAGGCAAGTGTAATCTGGAATCTTCTAAAACCAGCTCTAGACTAATTCAGCATGGTATGGGTCTTTGTAGTAGCTATTTAGACTATATAACTGGGCAAGGGCATGCCTCTCTCATCTCACATTACATCAAGACCAGTAGCGTTTGTGTGAAGATCACGTTTTCACCCTGGATATCCAGCCTAGGCATATGCAGGAAGCTTGACCACTGTTGCTGCCTTGTAATATTTATTATCACTGTCTTTTATTGCTATAACCGCTTTTATTATATTTTATACTGTCATTGAATTTTGTACTGCCGCTCTATTGTATACTGCCTTTGGGGTAAGTTTATAATACAATTGTTAATTGTATAACATGCCTTTGTTGTTTGTTGGTTTCACATTGAATTAATTTGCGTATACATTTTCTGTCCTTTCAAATAATTGTTTCAATTTGGAAGTCGACACGGAACAGTGTTCACACCCGATATTGATATTGTTAAATGAGTTGTTACACCATCCCTCTTTTAGGGCCTATCACCAGTTTTGGGTTTTGTCAATGAATTTGTTATGATAAAACATTACTTGGACGAATCCCCCAAAATTACATTAATATTTTCAAAAACATATAGTTAAATTTTCGTTGTATTCATTGAAATTCCTGCATTCTGATTAGCTGAATTGGTCACGTGTCATTGCATTCATTTTCTAATGAATGTAAAATATTTAGCCACGCCCACCGAGGCGGACAAATTTTATTACTATGGAATGTCGGTGAATCCCAATATTACATTCGAGGAGAATCCCTTTCTGCTCACGTGTATCGTCAAGCACAGGACATTTAGCGAAATTCATGCATATTTATTTAACAAACAATCCTTTGAGACCGAAGGCCGAGAAGGAATGAAACAGCAAACATGCTCGCTCGCCTGTTTTTTGCCCTCTCCTATAAGAAAAGAAGTCCGTGGTCCAGTGGTAGAGCGTCCGTCCGGAGAGCGGAAGGTCCGGGGTTCGATCCCCGACCACGTCACACCAAAAAACGTTAAAAGATGGTACTTGTTGTTACCCTGCCTGGCGCAGTACAAGCAGCCACACACACACACACGTGCATGTACGTCGCTATATAAGTGCAATAATCTTGGACGCGACGTTAAACCCCATTTCACCTCACCTCACCTCACCAGAAAAAAGGGCTTTTTTTCATGTTTCCACAGCATATCCTTCTGTCGAATTTATTGATAATGAAGGTGAGGTGAAAGGGGTTTAACGTCGCGTCCAAGATTATTGCACTTTTATACAGCGCCGTGCATGTGTGTGTGTGCGTGTGTGACTGCTTGCACTAGTCCGGACTTATGCCGATCTATAGTGCCAGCCCAATGAGATACAATGCCGCAGTTCAACATGAATACCCCCTTCAGACACAGTATACTCACTCCGAGCCGACCAGTCCTTGTTTTAGCCCCTTAATGTCGAGCGCCAGACAGGGTAACAACAAGTAACATCTTTTAACGTCTTTTGGTATGACGCGGCGGGGAACGAACCCCGGACCTACCGCTTTCCGGGTTTGATTGAAGTCCTAACTTGGAATAAATTTTCCTTCTCTACACTTCTGATTTCTTCTTGTAAAATGGCCACATAATTAAATCTGCAGCTGACTAGTAAAACATTTCGGCTGGCTAGTGCTTCTGAGTAATTTAGCACTGTTGACCCGGTATCAAACGACATCAGTTGCCTCCTTACCAATTAGAATACAAAAAGTATACGATAGCTGGAATGCAACTTACCTATTCCATGTGAACATGTGCACGTGCTTCACCTGATTTACGAGAAAGGAGAATTTAATCACATGAAACCGTTTAAAACAACGAACATGCCTCGACTGACCGCAGAGCAGAGGGAGAGAGTCATCGGTGTGTTGCAAATGGGAGCAACGCAGGAGCACGTTGCTAGGATCATGGGCTACTTCAAGTGCACCATCTCCAGAGTTGTCACACGTCACAGGCAAACTGGCAGTACTGCAGACAGGCCGAGGAGTGGAAGACCCAAGGTCACGACCCCACAGGAAGACCGGTATTTACGGGTGCTTCACCTAAGGTCCAGATTCCTAACTGTGACGTCATCATCCGCAAACAGCCTTGGACATTCAGCCAGCAGAAGGACCGTTGCTAGACGACTCCGCCTGTATGGCCTTGAATATTGCCACAAGCGGCGTAAAACCATACTCACTCATTATTATGACAGGATTAATTCGATTCAAATATTTACCCTTACATACGAAAGACACAGAACATATATGCCGTTGCAAATAAGATCTATACTGACACGTAAAAAGAGAAATGGAAAGTGTGACAGGTTATCATAATTAAACCTGAAGGTCCCATTAATTAACTTTACTAACCAGTTATGATTTTTTTACTAATTAGACTAGTAGATGACCTCTCGTAGATCGGTAAAATTCTCTCACCCATATTCATCTCAAAATGGCGAGCGTGACACTGACTACCACGCAGCATAGTAAATTAGCTGTTTACTAGACCTTCTAGCCGCTAACTAATTAAGTTAGTAGAATTCACTATTTTTTGTGTGGGAAAGGCCTTGGCTGCCGGTGTACACACATCGTACGATATATCAGATAATTATATCAAAGATGTGATATGACGGCTGGATATGAACTCTCACAGTGCGAAATTTAGGTTAAATGTAAAACACAAGAGTTCAAAAAAGATCATACACATGTAGATTTGATAACCAGACATCAGCTGTTACCGCAATTTCATGCATTCCTTATTCATTTGCATTTGTCAGTTGCAAATTCTCTACAACAGGTTACAACTTGTATTTTTTTGTTTTTAGATACCTCATTCGCGAATTGTTTTGAAACAAGATTGGAAGCGGCCAACGCTGAGTTAGCTGACCTTATAGAAGAATTCAGAGTTCTGACACAGGACGTCGCACCAGTTGATTGTCCTGGACGTACGTATATAAACCAACAGATGTGACATCCAAGAAATGTTTTCAAAATAGTTTCATTGCACAATGGGTTAAATTTACTCATTTGATAAGACCAATTTAGCACGAAAATATTTTCGAGATGACAAACTTCAGGATAATCGAGCTCACTGAGCCAAGGGATAATTAAGATTCAGATACACATGTTACTGTTTGGTCGTTCATTTTTAATTCTTGTTCCTTTCACCATATAAATTGCATACTCGTCAATCACTAAAAACGAATATGTATCACTTACTAGCACTATTGAACTATTACATGGAATGAGAAAAAAAAAATCACTGTACATTAATTGATATTTACGGAAGCCTTTAAGGGCCATTTGTTTTTTGTTGTTGAAATTTCAACTTATTATCTTGAAACTTCAACTTAGTACCTTGAAATTTCAAGATAGTATCGAAAAAATTTAAAAAAACCAAATGGCCCTAAATGACTTCCGTAGATATTTCACATGCCAAGGAAAGAAACAATAACTCGATCTAAGGCATCTCTTTATCAAACATTTCAAAACGGTCGGGTAGCCTAGTGGTTAAAGCGTTCGCTCGTCACGCCGAAGACCCAACATGGGTACATTGTGTGAAGCCCACTTCTGGTGTCCCCCGCCGTGATATTGCTGGAATATTGCTAAAAGCGGCGTAGAACCATACTCACTCACTCAGCCCAAACTTCCCTTATATGTTTTGCTTTTACACGTATTGATTAGGAGCCGCCTTTGTGCAGTTACTTAATTAGCGGTGCAGTTACTTAACTAGCACTTTTAGCTTTAAAGATAAAAAAATATAAAGGACCAAATCAATAACCAGCAGCAAAAATATTTAAGAGTATCATTGACATTCCATCACTTTATGATATATTCCTGGTATAAAATGCCATGTTCATGTGCAGATTACATCAGTCATCAAATCAATAAATGTTGAAAACAACCCCAACCAATGTCTTATTCAGCCTGAAATTGGGTAAGAATAATTCAAAGAAAATATCTTAAATAAACTGTTCAATCAGAACATATACTATTGTGTTTTACAGTCCAAGGATGTGCAGCACTTGTTGCTAGTGATGAGTCGTCCCTCGTTGCTGTCGCTGACCCAGTTGGGTCGATCCTGCATTACATCGACGCAAGCTTAAATATCAGCGCTCTAACAGCTGGGAGTAGATCAGCTGATGAGTCCTTCAAGCTCTACGTCATCAGTAATGATCCTTTCGTCGTAAAATGTCAGAGCATTCCCAGCGGAATTGACACTGTCATCGCTAATGATACAGGTACGTCATTATGTTCTCAATTGAATGTTATTTCATATATCAACCTATCATGAAGGCAACTTCTAAATTCAATATTAAATATAAAATTAAATTAAAACCTATCAAATAAAAAACGAGAATACACTGTCCATGGGCACCAGTCTCTGCTAAAAACGATTGTACGATTCCGGCTGTATCATAGGTATGTGTTTTAATCACGATCAAATGGTGATCATGCCAGGTGGCACTCGTCACAAACACATGCAAAGGCAAGTAAATCTTTCGCCTGTAAAAATACGGAAACATATAACAAGTCAAAATAGGGACTATGCCGTCATTTTTGTCCCCGATACGTCTAATCTTGAAATGTCCTTCACATGTCTACCATAAAACGTTATGAAAGCTTTACTTGGATGCTGTAACCGTGATCACATAACCTTTGAGCAAGAGACGCAGGACGCTCTTCTTTGAACTTTTGAAAGACTTGCCCATACCGTATTCGACGTAATAAGCGCCCCGCTCTAATAAACGCCCACGGCGATATTTGCTAATACATTGGCTAGTGAACAATCCCAATTAGCACCCCTTCCGATTGATCAATGTACACAAGATTTATTTATTCGCGTATAATACGCACTCGTGTGTTATATGCATCTTAACTATGGGCAATTAAATTCTTGAAAAATATATCTGTCGTACATAAACATTTTAGGCATAAACAACGAAATTTATCTTTCAACTCTTCATTTTCCACCAAAATAATATACTAATAAGAGCCCCAATATTTCTAATTTTGAGAGCGCCCTGGACGCTTATTACGTCGAATACGGTAACCTAAAATGTTGGTGTCAGCTTCTTGCCAAAGTATTACACGTAGTCATGACGTATCCGTAGCACTGACTGAAACCCGTTCTGAACAAAGTGGATCTCTTATATAACTGAAAGCACATGGTTCATGAAACCAGATAAGCACTTGATAATAGAATACATGTTTAAAGATCAAACTCCAGTATATCTATGCTACGTAGGTATTGCAGTTCTCAAAGAAATAAACACATATCTTTTCAATAGAATGATGTCAATACACTTTTCATCTGATGCTTTTCCCCCCCTTTTCCCCTATCATCTAGACTTAGCTTCCTCTGGTGGAGTTGGGACTGGCATTACGTTTTGCGATGATGGAAAGCTATACGTCACCATTGCTAATGCTGCCCCAGCGGATGATGTTATCCTGTCTATTGATCCAACTGATCTAAATGTCACCACAGTTGCTAATGTTTCCTGCGAGGCTGGGATTATCAGAGCCTATAATGGGTTGGCATCATAATTTTGTTTCTGTTTTTTCTACAGTATTACTGTCCATTACGTTCCTTGGTTTGCATTGATTTATTATTACACACATTTAGGCACTGACTACTATACATAACGTGACTGATCCGTTCTGCCCTAAGATATATACAACTATTACCCATAGGGTGAGAGTGAGTGATAGAGTTGAGTTTAACGCCGCTTTAAACTGTATTCCAGTTATATCGCGGCGTGCCAGCTTAATGTGGGAGGAAAGCCCGAAGTGATGCAGGTGTCAGATGATTACCACTTCGGTGAAACCCACGAGCACGGGTATGGTGCTGACAAACCTAGTAACATAAACGGGATTCGACTCCACAATCCTAGATTTCTGGCGTGCACAAGGGACGCAACTCTGCACAGCGTACCGCGGCGCTTTAGACGACCCCTGCGCCCCCCCCTCGATAGGGATAGAGATAACCGAGTTCATAAACATTGCATGTGCACTATGGCAAATATCACTTCACTTCGTAATGTTTACATCATCCTGACGTCATAGCTGAAGATTGTTGACGTCATTTGACATTGAACTGTATAAGAGGGCGGTCGTGATATTGATCGTGCATTTTCCTAAATCGGAACTCAAAAGGATGAAGAAATAATGGGTAATAAAGAAATTAATATCTGGCTCGGGAAATATAAGACATTTTGACACTTGTTTTGTAAAATCAAAATGACACGCATGCATAGAGAATTCTATTTTTATTACGTATCAAAAATATCGGGGCTCACATAAATCGTATGTGCCCTTGGGCACAGGTCGTATCACGAGACAACACTCCTCGAACAGCGATTGAAATTCTTCCACTGAACATGTTGTGCATGTCAATATAGTTAAGCCAACAATCCTAAAAGATCAAAACAGTTACAGTAATAAAACTTGTTTTAAAATAAACATGTCATAATTAATTGTTTACATTCGCAAGTGGGGCAAATGCAGACCAATGAAGTGTTTTTGTTTCAATTGACTACAGAACGTATGTAAATACAGTAAACTACGGTTATAACGAACTCAAAGGGGCCACTAATTTAAGTTCGTAATAACCGTAGTTCGTTATAAGCATGTAACAACATATATACAAGAAATGGCTGGGACTACAAAATAAGTTCGTTATATCGGTCAGTTCGTTATAAACGTAGTTTACTTATTGCCTTCTATTTTCTTTAAAGGCTATTGTATTACGTCAACTGCAAGAAAATCGAATGCATCAATAAGACAGGTGAAGATTTGCAAACCAAATTCAAGTTTCCAGTGAACATTAATTCGTTTGATGTCATTGACGAAGGTACGTATGAAAACATACAGTAGAATCATGCTGATCTAGGCCCCTAGGCGGTCGCAGCTCTACGTAGTCTATTCTAATTAATGAGAGTTACGCTCTCTTTGTAGAACGGAGCCCTGGACCTCACTGGCAAATACTACAATTATGTTTTTGCCTATTCTATAAAAAACCCCGACATTATGCAAGTTTTATCAATCCGTATACAGCAATCAACATTGAACCCTGTTTTCTAGACAATACCTCCGACCCCTTTTCAGAATGGATTGATGTACTTACAAATGGTTTATTAAACTTCACTGCATATAATTCATACCCAGTGCTCTGATGACTTTGACAAAATCATATACGTTTGTGCTGACGTAAGGTTAATCAATAATCATACCTTTTGTTGAGTATGTTGGTCATAAGAGAGCTATAGCAATGACATACTAACTGTAAGAGATACTCGAACTCGAGCCTAGTGGGACCGTGTTGTTACTTCGAGATACCCGGACATTCGAGATAACAGGGTATGAACATTATAGTAAGGTGGTCGGGGCCGGGGAATGGGTTCGAGATAAAGTTTAACTGACAAGGTATCTCGAAATATCAACTTGATCATGTTAATCTTATTTATTTATTTTCAGAAAAGATAATTTTCATTCAACTGGCATAATATGTTCTAAACGTGATACTGAGGCATATTAGTTCCCAATTGTGTATACAGTCGAACCTTATTTTATCTAGATAAAGGGCGTCGATTAAATAAGGTTCGACTGTAACTTTATTTTTAATCTCCTGAAGTAAGAAAACCAAACAAGTAATAATCTTTCTAAATTATTCTTAAATATTTGGTAATAAATCTTATTGTTTCTGTCAAACCTACCTTGATGCCTTTTGATAAAAATAAAATTGACATGTAGAAAATCCAGCTTGGTATTTTTTTTCAAAAGAGAGGATAGTATTTTGCGATTCTGTGGGCGGACTCTGGATCTACAACATCGGCACCGGCTGCTACAAACTGCTGGACTGTAGTGATGAAGCATGTGCGGACGTCAAGATCAACCGCTGTACATCGTTCATTTACGCAGTCTACCCAAATGATGCGTAAGTGTTTTGATGATAGTTTACGTACAGGATGGCATATGTTGTATGACCGCGAGTCCGCATGCGTTTCTGAATCACCATCAATTAATGATGCCATGAAGTGTTCATCATGTCGACTGTAGGTTCAGTTCAGCAGACGAAGGTCTGTAAATATTCGAGTCAGGACTAGACAATTCTGTGAGCATCGATCCACGCATTTTGCATCAACCAAGTCAGCGAGCCTGACCACCCGATCCCGCTAGTCCACTTTTACAACAAGCATAGTTGCCTCCTACGGAAACCATGGGTTGGTGAAGGCCAATTCTAACCAGGATTTTCACCAGTCAATGTACCAGAACAAACAGATTGTCTAACTCGCACTGTGCTGCGTTGTGTATTGCCTGATGTATCTCAAGTTTCAAGATAAAATTAACAGTAAATAAATAGCAATAACCTACTCATTAAGAACTCAGGCATTTACCTTTTCGTCAGCCCTCAAGACATGGTAGTTGTCAAGTTGTGGTACTGGGGATCTATTCTGCCCTGGAAGACCAATATGATCTTGTCTGGGAAACAATGACGTAGATAACAGCATGCTCATTTCTTTTTCAGAAATCTCAAAATTTTCAACTCCACGACCAGTGGTGCTGAGGGGACGTTGGCGTACACAACGTCCGACCCCGCTGGTTCTCCACGCCTTGGGTTCGAGCCACTTTGGTAAGTTACATTACGACAGATTGAGTGAGTGAGTGAGTGTGGTTTTACGCCGCTTTTAGCAATATTCCAGCAATATCACAGCGGGGGACACCAGAAATGGGCTTCACACATTGTACCCATGTCGGGAATCGAACCCGGGTCTTCGGCATGACGAGCGAACGCTTAAACCACGAGGCTACCCGACCGCCCCATTACGACAGAGACGGCACTGTGTACGACATGCCGCTAAAATACCATTCTGTTACGATACAATGTAAAGTGAAGAATAGATCACTTATCGGTATGATAGCTATTTTCAGAAACATATTAAATGATTTAAGCCTACTAACATATTAGAAATAAAAATAGCTATCATGATAATCAAGCGTATGGCGTGTGGTTGACAAATAAATCTGTTTATTCAGTGACAGAAACATCTATTCGAAAGCCTTGCTCGATTAGTCTCTAATTCATCTGGTTGAATGTGAAATGTTGTTTGTTTGTTGTTTAACGCCGCACTCAGCAATATTCCAGCTATATGACGGCGGTCTGTAAATAATCAAGTCTGGACCAGACAATCCAGTCATTGACATCATGATCATCGATCCACACAATTGGGACACGATGACATGTATCCACCAAGTCCGCGAACCTGACCACCCTATCCCGTTAGTCGCCTCTTACGACAAGCATAGTCGCCTTTTACAGCAAGACCTATTCGACCCCGGATCTTTACTGGTCGAATATTAAATGTTCAATGATGATACAATATCCCTGCATATATATATATTGGAAAGTTATGACACTCATTCATATAAAAAACACACTTTTTATTACAGCCTACCCTAGGTTGATAAGGTAAGCTTGTGTCTTTAGAATTATAAACGACTTTCATTTTCATGGCTGTTTTTCATTAGAGAGGAGCAATTGTATTTCTTGCGTCCGTGATCATAACCTTGGATCTATCTATCTATCTATCTATCTATCTATCTATCTATCTATCTATCTATCTATATAAACTGACGTCCAAAAGAAACTTTACCAACTGAAAATATAAATTTCTGACAAAGTATAATTTTTTTCGATGAAGTCTATCAAAAACACAACCTAAATACAACAATAGTGTATACAGAAAATGTTAATCGTCTGTTACATGTATGCGAGATAACACGCGAAAAAGTAAAACACACGTGCACCGCGGACAACTGCAAATGCACGTCCGGGTAAGGGTGTAAAACGATTGCAACGGCAAGTCAGACATTCACAGTGATAAAAAACACACAAAAGAAATGCCACGACTCACAGCCGAACAACGTGAAAGAGCCTTGGGTATGGTACAGATGGGAGCCACCCACGCCCATATTGCACGAACCTTCGGTTGCTCCCGTGTTGCCATTACCAACTTGATGCAACGTTACAGACAGACAGGGCGGACCGCTGACAGGCCAAGAACAGGCAGACCCAGGGTGACCACGCCCCATGATGACCGGTACTTGCGTACCTTGCACCTCCGAAATCGTTTCCTGACAGTGACGTCATCGGCGAGAAATGCCTTAGGTCACAGGGTTAGTCGAAAGACAGTGGCCAAGAGACTCAGAGCTCATGGAATCAGGGCTGTTAGACCAGACAGAGGACAGCTATTGACAGCGCAACATCGGCGTCTGCCATTGAGATGGGCCCGTACTGTACGACATTGGCAACGACGTGACTGGCAGAGGGTTGTCTTCACTGACGAAAGTCGATGCTGTATGTTTAGGGATGATGGAAGACAACGTGTTTACCGCCGAAGGGGTGAACGAACGGCGGCGTGTTGCGTGCAGGAGGTCGTACCATATGGTGGAGGCAGTGTCATGGTGTGGGGAGGGATCTCAAGTTGGGCAGGAGAGGACACCGCTGGTCATCGTTGACGGAAACCTGACAACTCAGCGTTACATGGATAACATTCTTCGTCCAGTTGTCCTACCATTTCTCCAACAGCAGCCACGTGGTGTCATTTATCAGCACGACAACGCTAGAGCCCATACAGCCAGAATAGTCACTAACTTCCTCGCAGCCAACAACGTCAACGTCCTGCCGTGGCCTGCACGCTCACCCGACATGTCCCCCATAGAACACCTCTGGGACTTGATGGATCGTCGTGTCTGACAACGACCACACTCTCCAGCCAATTGCAACCGGCAAGAACTGATCTTGGCCCTCCAAGAAGAATGGCGTCAAATCCCACGTGACCTCATCAGACGACTGACGTTTTCTGTGCGTCGAAGAGTTTTTGCGTGTGTTGAGGCATTTGGTGGTCACACATGCTACTAATGACTTGTTATTGAACATGAACGATTGTTTATGTACTCTGCCTTTTGTCCATGATTCTGAAAGCTTGAGTTTTGTACCACACACAACTTTTGGGGGCTCTGACGTCATTCTCGCTCGCGGTATGATTGTCATATTCAGTGTTGATTATGTTGATATATAGATTTTCTCGATACACTTTATTTCATGCATGTATGTTTTGTTGTTTTTGAGCAAGAGTGATTTCAAACTCTGGTAAAGTTTCTTTTGGACGTCAGTTTATATATATACCCGTGCCTCAAATAAGGCAACCCTTGGTGAAACAGGCCGTAGTAATATTTTTGTAGCCAGCCAATTAAGGGTAATAAAGTATTGGATTAAGATACTTAGAAACGTAGTCCCATTTGAGGTTTACATTTCTCCCCATCTTAGAGGGTACTTTTAAAGACCGCCAGTTAATGATAAATCTGCTAAACTCTGAAAATCCTGGTATGATCCGTGCTGTTTCTGTATTCTTAAAACATGCCTTTGAAATGAGGAATGTGTAACTTGATTTAAAATCTGACCATGTACATCACGTGACAATGTTAATATCTAATCTGTATTGTTCTATGTGCCTTGATGCCTAAAATACTGAATAAACTGTCTGTCTGTCTCTCTGAAAGAAACCATTGCGATAACTATCGATAGTTTTCAGTGTATCATTTTAGATGGATTTTAGAATTGAATTATACCTTGGAACTGAAGTTTCCCTTGAATGTGATAACATAACAACAAATACAAAGTAAAGTTGACTGATTTGTTTTTTTCTTTACCCTAATAATTTAAGCAAAAGAAACTTCCACATTATCATGTGTAAATTACTACCACTCATGATAAAAAAAACATACAAATTGAACAGCATTGCATGTATTTTAATGATATCGTAAATACAATCAAAACTATCAACATTCCGAACTGAAATCAATACTATTGATCGGAAACTGATTTAACAATAAATTTATTGACTCTAAGTGCTTACCAATGGCAATATATCGATATTTCGAGTTATCGTGACACTCCTAATGATGACACAAATCACTCACACAACCATAGTTACATACATAATAACAAGTCACAAAGCCGAAGATTTAAGTGGTCCTAATACTGTTAGTAATTTTGGACACCTCTCACAACAAGCACATGGTCCTTGGGACTAAACAGTCCGTTCGGAAAAGTAACATGATACGCAATTGCCTGTCTGCTTGTCTTAACCAAAAATTTCTCTTTTCAGGACGAGGACCTTCTTGGAAAGAAATCAGTTAAATGTGAAAACGACATTGACGTTAAATCTGTATTAAATCCTTTCCAACACAAACTATATTTGTTTTCATTTTTAGTTAATCAAAAGACGCTTTATTTTTTGTTTTATTTGTTTGTTTATTGTTTAACGCCACACTCAGCAATATTTCAGCTATATGACGGCGGTGTGTAAATAATCGAGTCTGACCAGACAATCAGTTGATTGGCATCATGAGTATCGATCTACGCAATTGGGATACAATGACATGCATCAACCAAGTCAACGAACCTGACCACCCGATCCCGTGTGTCGCCACTTACGAAAAGCTTTGTCGGCTCCTACGGGATGCGGAAGAATACTTTATATTATATTTCACGTGTAACTGCGAACATGATACTGAAGTGAACGAGTGAGTAATTATTGCTCACAATCAATCTTGCAGCTATTCCCGGCGATGAGTGAGCTTCATACATTGTACCAATGTGGGAAATCGAACCTGGGTCTTCGTCTTGATGAGCGAACGCTTTAACTACAAGGCTACCCCGCCGTCCCTCGCGGCCATGATACTTAAAATCTCGATTACTAATGTATCCATGGAAACTGTAATTACATCAGCCTGTACCAACGTTGACCCGAACTTGAGAAATGCATTTACATCCTCCGCTTCATGTTGCCATGCCTTATGCAATCATTTTCAAGTGAGTGATTTGTGATCACTTGTAGTAGTGAGTGAGTGAGTATGGTTTTACGCCGCTTTTATCAATATCCCAGCAATATCACAGCGGGGGACACCCGAAATGGGCTTCACACATTGTACCCATGTCAGGAATCGAACCCGGGTCTTCGGCGTGACGAGCGAACGCTATAACCACTAGGCTACTCGACCGCCCCTTCTCTTGTAATAATACTCGGTTCTGAATTGTTCTTATGATGAAAGATCAATGGGAATCATCTTCCCGAGGCAAGGGCGTTAACTGACAAAAATGTCAAGTTTCCTGTTGCCGAACTAGGCTTGAATTCCGGACTTACATTTTGGCTGGACTAACAAGTCTGTGCATAGTCTAATCAAACCGCTTGACGAACTAGACATCCGGTTCGTGAACAACATGAATTTCAACGTGCAGATTTCGGTCGACAGCAGGAACTGCAAAGCATGTGCCGCCAAATAGGTGTCAACAGATATTTGAAAATCTTTTCATGTCTTTAATCAAGGTGCTCAAGTCATTTGATGCACTTTGCGAGGTAAGACCCGTTTTTTTTACAATATAGTTGTTGATTATCAATGAAGAAAACAACACACGGTGGTTTGACTGTATATTCCACAACACTTCTTCCCAGGTTACAACAGACGGTGGTTTGACTGTATACTTCACGACACTTCTTTCCAGGTAATAACACAAGGTGGTTTGACTGTATATTTCACAAAACTTCTTCCCAGGTGACAACACAAGGTGGTTTGACTGTATATTTCACAACACTTCTTCCCTGGTACCAATAAAAGGTGGTTTGACTGCATATTTCACAACACTTGTTCCCAGGTGACAACACACGGTGGTTTAACTGTATATTTTACAACACTTCTTTCCAGGTAACAACACACGGTGGTTTGACTGTGTATTTCACAACACTTCTTCCCAGGTAACAACACACAGTGGTTTGACTGTATATTTCACATGACTTCTTCAAAGGTTACAACTCACGGTGGTTTGACTGTATATTTCACAAAACTTCTTCCCAGGTGACAACACACGGTGGTTTAACTGTATATTTCACGACACTTCTTCCCAGGTGACAACACACGGTGGTTTGACTGTATATTTCACAACACTTCTTCCCAGGAAACAGCACAAGGTGGTTTGACTGTATATTTCACGATACTTCTTCCCAGGAAACAGCACACAGTGGTTTGACTGTATATTTCACATGACTTCTTCCCAGGTGACAACACACGGTGGTTTGGCTGTATATTTCACGACACTTCTTCCCAGGTGACAACACACGGTGGTTTGACTGTATATTTCACGACACTTCTTTCAAGGAAACAGCACACAGTGGTTTGACTGTATATTTCACATGACTTCTTCCCAGGTGACAACACACGGTGGTTTGGCTGTATATTTCACGACACTTCTTCCCAGGTGACAACACACGGTGGTTTGACTGTATATTTCACGACACTTCTTTCAAGGAAACAGCACACAGTGGTTTGACTGTATATTTCACGACACTTCTTCCCAGGTGACAACACACGGTGGTTTGGCTGTATATTTCACGACACTTCTTCCCAGGTGACAACACACGGTGGTTTGACTGTATATTTCACAACACTTCTTCCCAGGAAACAGCACAAGGTGGTTTGACTGTATATTTCACGATACTTCTTCCCAGGAAACAGCACACAGTGGTTTGACTGTATATTTCACGACACTTCTTCCCAGGTGAGAACACATGGCGGTTTGACTGTATATTTCACGACACTTCTTTCAAGGAAACAACACAAGTAGGTTTTACTGTATATTTCACAACACTTCTTACCAGGAAACAACAAACGGTGGTTTGACTGTACATTTGACGACACTTCTTCCCAGGTTACAACACACGGTGGTTTGACTGTATATTTTACGACACTTCTTCCAATGTAACAACACAAGGTGGTTTGACTGTACATTTCACAACACTTCTTCCATGGTGACAACACATGGTGGTTTAACTGTATATTTTACAACACTTCTTCCGAGGTAACAACACACGGTGGTTGGACTGTATATTTCACAACACTTCTTCCCAGGTAACAACATATGGTGATTTGAATGATTATTTCACATGACTTCTTCCCTGGTGACAACACATGGTTGTTTAACTGTATATTTTACGACACTTCTTCCAATGTAACAACAAACGGTGGTTTGAATGCATATTTCACAACACCTCTTCCCTGGTGACAACATTTTGTTGTCTATCTGTATATTTCACAACACTTCTTAACAGGTGACAACACATGGTTGTTTAACTGTATATTTTACAACACTTCTTCCCAGGTTACAACAAACGGTGGTTTGGCTGTATATTTCACGACACTTCTTCCCAGGTGACAACACACGGTGGTTTGGCTGTATATTTCACGACACTTCTTCCCAGGTGACAACACAAGGTGGTTTGACTGTATATTTCACAACACTTCTTCCCAAGAAATAACACACGGTTGTTTGACTGTATATTTCACGACACTTCTTCCCAGGTGACAACACACGGTGGTTTGACTGTATATTTCACGACACTTCTTCCCAGGTAACAACACAAGGTGGTTTGACTGTATATTTCACAACACTTCTTCCCTGGTAACAATACAAGGTGGTTGGACAGGAAATAACACACGGTTGTTTGACTGTATATTTCAAGACACTTCTTCCCAGGTTACCATACACGGTGGTTTGACTGTATATTTTACGACACTTCTTCCTAGTAAACAACTGATGGTTGTTTGACTGTATATTTCACAACACTTCTTCCCAGGTTACGACACACGGTGGTTTGACTGTATATTTCACAACACTTCTTTCCAGGTAACAACACAAGGTGGTTTGACTGTATATTTCACAACACTTCTTCCCAGGTAACAACACAAGGTTGTATGACTGTATATTTCACGACACTTATTCTCAGGTTACGACACACGGTGGTTTGACTGTATATTTCACGACACTTCTTCCCAGGTGACAACACATGGCGGTTTGACTGTATATTTCACAACACTTCTTCCCAGGTAACAACATATGGTGATTTGAATGATTATTTCACATGACTTCTTCCCAGGTGACAACACATGGTGGTTTAACTGTATATTTTACAACACTTCTTCCCAGGTAACAACACACGGTGGTTGGACTGTATATTTCACAACACTTCTTCCCAGGTAACAACATATGGTGATTTGAATGATTATTTCACATGACTTCTTCCCAGGTGACAACACATGGTGGTTTAACTGTATATTTTACAACACTTCTTCCCAGGTGACAACACATGGCGGTTTGACTGTATATTTCACAACACTTCTTCCCAGGTAACAACATATGGTGATTTGAATGATTATTTCACATGACTTCTTCCCAGGTGACAACACATGGTGGTTTAACTGTATATTTTACAACACTTCTTCCCAGGTAACAACACACGGTGGTTGGACTGTATATTTCACAACACTTCTTCCCAGGTAACAACATATGGTGATTTGAATGATTATTTCACATGACTTCTTCCCAGGTGACAACACATGGTTGTTTAACTGTATATTTTACGACACTTCTTCCAATGTAACAACAAACGGTGGTTTGAATGCATATTTCACAACACTTCTTCCCTGGTGACAACACATTAATGTCTATCTGTATATTTCACAACACTTCTTACCAGGTGACAACACATGGTTGTTTAACTGTATATTTTACAACACTTCTTCCCAGGTTACAACAAACGGTGGTTTGGCTGTATATTTCACGACACTTCTTCCCAGGTGACAACACACGGTGGTTTGGCTGTATATTTCACGACACTTCTTCCCAGGTTACAACACACGGTGGTTTGACTGTATATTTCACGACACCTCTTCCCTGGTAACAATACAAGGTGGTTTGACTGTATATTTCACGACACTTCTTCCCAGATAACAACACAAGGTGGTTTGACTGTATATTTCACAACACTTCTTCCCAAGAAATAACAACAAACGGTTGTTTGACTGTATATTTCACGACACTTCTTCCCAGGTGACAACACACGGTGGTTTGACTGTATATTTCACGACACTTCTTCCCAGGTAACAACACAAGGTGGTTTGACTGTATATTTCACAACACTTCTTCCCTGGTAACAATACAAGGTGGTTGGACAGGAAATAACACACGGTTGTTTGACTGTATATTTCACGACACTTCTTCCCAGGTTACCATACACGGTGGTTTGACTGTATATTTTACGACACTTCTTCCTAGTAAACAACTGATGGTTGTTTGACTGTATATTTCAAAACACTACTTCCCAGGTTACGACACACGGTGGTTTGACTGTATATTTCA